CCAGGAAGGGCAGGGTCCCAAACAAGAACCCAAAGAGGCCCACACGAAGACACGTCATAACTAAAATGCCAAAGGTTAAATGTAAAGAGAGAATCTTAAAAGCTTCAAGAGAAAAGCGGTCAGTTACCGACAAGGGAGCACCCATAAGAATGACAAGCTGATTTCTCAACAGAAACTTTGCAGGCCAGAAGGGATTGGCAGGATATATTTAAAATAATAAAAACCCAGAACCTACAACCAAGATTACTCTACTCAGCAAAGCCATCATTTAGAATGGAAGGACAGATCAAGATAAAGAGCTTCGTAAGAAAACGCTAACACAGTTCATCACCACCCAGCCAGTATTACAGGAAACGCTGGAAGGTCTTCTTTAAGAAGGAAAAAATACGTATCAAAAAGAAGGCAATAGAACAGCAATAACTACATATCTATCGACAAGTACTTCAAAGGAAAAAGAACTAAGTGCTCCAACCAAAAGATGGGGTGGCTGAATGGATAAGAAAACAAGACCCCTACAGATGCTGCCTACAACAGACTCACTTCAGATTAAAAGACACACACACAGACGGAAAATAAAAAGATGGAAAAAGATATGTCACGACGGACCTAGCGGACAGCTGGAGCAGATGGAGGGGCACGGGCTCTGACGGCTCTCGTCATCCCGCTGATCGGCAAATACCACGGCACCGATGACAGGCCAGGACCTGTCCTAGGCGCTGGGGACAGCGTGTGAGTGAGCAGACAATGCTCTGCCCTCACGGGACACTTATGTTTGAGAGCAAACGCACCGCCAGAAACGCACAATCTCAGAGAGCGAGGGGGGCTGCGAGATTGGTGAGAAACGGGAAAGGAATTAAAAAGTACAAATTGGTAGTTACCAAACAGTCATGGAAACAAAGTCGAACGTAACGAATATAGCCAATAATATTGTAATAACTAAGTACACTGTCAGAGGAGCACTAGGTTTACTGGGGTGATCACTCTGCGAGTTATATAGATGTCCGATCACTGTTGTGCACCTGAAACCAATGTGACATTATATGCCAACTACAACTGAAAGATAAACAATATCATTAAAAAAAAAAGGACCAAAGACCTGAACAGACACCTCACCAAGGAAGACACACTGATGACAAATAAGTACACGAAGAGATGCTCCACGTCACACATCATCAGAGAAATGCATATGAAAACTACGAGATACCACCACATTCCTATCGGCATGGCCGAAATCCAAAACACCAACACTACCAAATGCTGGCGACAACGTGGAGCAACTGAACTGTCACTCACTGCTGGTGAGAATGCAAACCTGTGCAGCCACTCCAGGTAAACTGAAATGGCGGCCAGCGATTCATGTGGAGACCCAGGCGGCAGTCCCATTTTCCCGACACCTTTTGGGAAACACAGCCCCCCGCCTGCTCTAACGGACACCTCTCCGAGCACCCAGGAGGCCCACA